CCTCCCCTCCTCCTGCTGCTCCCCCCCCTGCCCCCCCCCCCCGCGAGTATCGCGGGTCCCCCCTTGTAAATTACTAATCTAGGAGCAGTTGATCTCGGGCTAAATAATAGCACTGCCTCCTGTCTTATTCCGCCCCCCCCCCCCGCATGCCAGTTACTTACTTCTTTTTCAGTGCAGTGCTATGCAGAATGACACCAGTAAGACCATTGGAATAAATGGGCTTGAACTGGTATAAATTTGGATTGCACTGATATTTTGACAGGTTTCACTGGCAATTAAAGAAGTTTACTATATTTATTTATTTATTTTATTGGATTTATAGCCTGCCCTCCCCTGCACAGTAAGGCTCAGGGTGGGTAACAGCAATGTTAAAACAATAATTATAAATTAATCACTAAAAACAGTTTCTTGCAGACATACACTATGCATTTTCCAACTGCAAACTGATTTCTGTCTGCTTTTCTTGTTTTCCCACATTCCTAATCAGTCTGTAGCAACTTGTTCATCCTTCTTACTTTTCTCCTTGACGCACACCTGCTGTGCTCTGGCAGAGATGCCAGCGTCACCCTGGATAGTTTTTCTTTCATTGACCTAAACAGATCAGACATGTTGCTCTTTTGTTGCCAGTCAGATTACTCTTTCAAATGAAGCAGCTGGAGGCTGTGGTGTTGATGGGAAGATCAGGATGATGTCAGGTTTTTGTCTGATGTTAATGATAGCTCTTCCTAGACTAACAGAGCAGTACTGGGAGGGGGCAAATTGGAACAGGGAGCCAACTGACCCCTATGCTGGCAAAACTTGGAGTCACGCTGGAGTAAAGGCAGTTTATGCTAGCTCAGGGCACTAGCAGCACGGCGCCACTGAGTCCCACTGGCACAGGAGCGCCGCAGCCACACACTGGCGGAGCAACGGCACAAACCCCGCTGCAGGTATAGATGTGGGTGTTCCAGGGGACATGGCAGCAGGTAGGTGGCTTCCCGAGTGTTTTCAGTGTGGGACCCCCCCCCCCAAGCAAGCACAAAGTTACATTGGCAAAAATGACATCATAGTCCATTGACAGCCATGGTAACTTCAAATTCACTCTCCCATACACAGCTGCAGCCACACCCACAGGACCCCAAGCAACTCAGGATACCAAATTGGTGTGCACCCAAACAGTACACTCCCCGGCTCTGGCCGCACCTCTCCTTGGGACCCAGTCACAACCCCTGCACCGTACTAATGATTCCAAGAGGTTGCCCCAGATTTCCAGAGGTAGGGCATGCAGCATGGAAAGCTGTCTGACAGCTCCTTGCTATGTGGACTTAGAGCAAGCCCTGATGGCAGGCACAACACAGACAGGGCACCTAGCACCGCTGGGTGAGCATTTGGGAGGACTATACCACAGGGAGAGCAAAGTCCATACCTGGTGGCTGATCTCTTCCAGTTTTCACTCTGCTACAGTACAGCAGGCCCTCCACCAGGAGCTGAAGGGGAAACCGGGTGTGAATAGGTAAACAAGGCTCCCTGACCTGCATCCCTCTCCTGACCCTACCACAGTGGCACTGAGCCACAGTTGACATGGTGTCACCCCCTCCTGAACCTGGGAGCCATGGTGGCAATCAGTGGGCTCCCAGACATAGATGGATGCCGCACACAGGTGGTTAGGTGCATCAAGGCCTGTGTGAGGCAGATACCAAGGGAGGGTTGCCACTGTGACAGCTGTACAGTAGGCTGCTTGCACAGCAATGACAGCCTCCATGGTCCTGTGAGGAGAAGGAGGCGGCGACATAGATGGTGGACTTGACATCTTTGAATGGCAGTGGCCCTGCCCTGGCAAACAGAGAGGGGCAGGGGTGACGGGCAGGGCAGCTGCTGGTGCCCCAGAGGAGGGAGGGGATCCTGGCCCCTTGCCTGGTCCCCAGCCCATCCTGCTCACCCTTTCCTCCATGTGGGCAACAACACAGTGGGAGCCGCTGGAGAGCTGTCGTGAGTGGCAGGAAGACTTTTCCAGGAGGCAGCAATGGATGGAGGGGTTGGCAGCATCTGTAACAGCAGCTGCCAGGCACCTGGAGGAGCTTCTTGTATTAGTGAGGGATGTGGGTGAGGGATAGGGGCTCATAAAAAGGCTGCTGGGGGATCTGTCTGAGTTTCTCCAGGGGCCCAAGCACCCCGCCCCTCCTCTTACTGTGCCTCCAGCAGGGGTGGCACACAGGTTGTCATAGGGATGTCCTCAATGGTGTGGGTGCCTGTCTGGCCACTGCAGCTGGCAGTGAGCGGAGGGCACTCTCACATCTATGCTCTTGTCTGTCATCGCCCTCTGGAGCCTTGTGTGCTCTGTGTGCAGAGCGCCACCATGACATACTGGTGAGGCTGACAGCTGATGCCCCTCCTCCCCACTGACAGGTGGCCGGGGCTTTTTACAGGAGCTGGTCTCTTTAAGGGTGTGTGTGCGCCACAGAAGGAACGTTGCTCCTGTGGCCCACCCCTCTTCACCCCCTGCCAGTGATGGACACTTGGCTTGGCCTCCTCGACTCATGACTCCCATTGGTCTTGCCTGCCATGTCTATTACACTGTTCCTGCCTTGGAAAATGGAATGCTGTGGTGCGATCGGTACACGGCATCTTTTGGGGCACCTTTTTCCCATTCAGCTTTTCCATTCATTTTAGAATGATCTGAAATGTATATCTGACAGTCTGAGTACAAATCTATGAAAGGAGATTGGTGCTTTCATTTTGTTTTCTCATAAACATGACATCTTATTACATAAGCTGATGTGGCTTTAGCCACGCTTCCAGAAAAGAAAATTCATAGAACTGGTTCATCTATATATATAAAAAAGAGAGTCTCCTCACTGATGCCCAGGCCAAACCCCTGGACCTAGAAACATGAAATTCGGGGAGAGCACTCCTGCCATGAAGTAGATGCTCGCTAAGAAGGGGGTCAAAAGGGGTAAATTGTGCTCCCCCCATTGCTTTCTATATGGCTGCCAGGCTGCTGCCTCCTTGCGCCTCCCATTCTCTGATTGGTCAATTGCAGAGCTCAGTGTTCTGAGGTAAAAAACAACAACACAGTTACAGGAGGCTGCAGAGAGCTAATGACAGTTGAGGAAATCAGGAATGGCCAACCACCTGTGAGGTGTAGCAATGCTGCTGGTACAGCCTCTCCAATGGCTTCAAACACGCTCCCCCCACCTCATAAACATGACAGGTGGCTGTCTGTCAGGTGCAACAGTGGGTGCAGGGTGCTTAAAGCCATCAGGGAGCCTGCCCCAGCAGTAACACCTTAGCGATCGTGCCAGCCCAGCCTCCACAATGGCTTGCAATACCCCTCCCCCTCTTACACCACACAGGCGGCTGTCTGTCTGGTGCAGGAGCAAGTGCAGAAGATTTAAAGCCATCGGGGAGGCTGCCCAAGCAGCATTGCCTTAGCAATCCTGCTGGCCCAGCCTCCCCGATGCCTCCAGACACGCTACCCTTCCTAGACCTGATAGACAACTGTCTGTCAAGGGTTGAAAGGGGCATGGAGTCCTTAAAGCCATTGGGGAGGATTGCCTTAGCACTGCTGGTGGCCCAGCCTCCCAAATGCCTTTAACCAAAATCCCTCCCCCTTACACCAGACAGGCGAGTATTTGTCAGGTGTAGGAGCAGGGCCAGGATACTTTAATCCATCAGAGAGGTTGCCCCAGCAGGGTCACCTTAGCAAGGCTGTTGGCCCAGCCTCTCCAGTGGCTTTAGCCACACTCACACCCACTATGAAAATATACCCCAAATTTGTATAAAAGTGGTTTCCTTTATTTGGTTATTTAACTTCTCACAGTGTGTGGTCTAGAAAATTGGTTCATATGAACTTGCTTAATATCTGATTGCTCAGATGCTGTTTTGAATACGTAGTTATGTCCCACTTCTTAATGTAACAGAAATGAGAAGCATTTTAGTAAAAAAGAAAGAAATAAAAGTATTCCCTGCACCACCACCCCCAATTCAATGTCCAGGCCAAACCCCTGCACCAAGAAACCCAAAATGACGGGAGTGCATTCCTACTAAGATGTCAACCCCCACTACAAAGAGATTTCTGAGAAACACAACTCCTAAGGGGGTAAAAAGGGGGTAAAATGTGTTCCCCCAATTGTTTTCCATGTGCCTGGCAGGCTGCTGCTCCTTGCCTCCCCTCCCTGATCAGTCAACTGTGTAGCTCAGAATTCTGAGGTAAAATCTGCCTGCTTGCACCCACCTGCTTTTGATTGCTCAGCTGTGGATCTCAATGTTCTGAGGTAAAAACACATCCCTTCATGCCTGGCCTCAGTAGTGAGGACCCTACCAGAACTAACAGCCAGGATCTACCCTGATATTGCCAGTATTATGGAAAAGTCCATGGACAACCCGTACAAGCATACCCCCATGAACAATAGGGCTACCATCATTAATGAAAATCTACTTAACTCCTTCGAGGGGGCAGAAATGGAGTACAGATCTGTGGACTCAATGGTGCAAATGGATGACATGGTCTACTACCCTCAACCCTCCTGGCTTCCCTGGGGGCTCCAGTGCTGCTGCTGAGGAACTTCAACCCACCCAAACTCTGTAATGGCACCAAATTGCAAGTGAAGGCCCTGCACAGGAACATCATTGAGGCCACACTACACACTGGCAGTGCTTGGGGAGAGTTGGTGCTCATACCACTCATACCATCAGCAAAACCCCTTTGAGTTCAAGAGGCTGCGGTTCCCCCTTAAGGTCTGCTTTGCTATGACCATCAACAAGTCCAAAGGCCAGACACTGAAGGTGGCAGGAATTGACTTAACAGACTACTGCTTCTCACATGGACAGTTCTATGTGTCCTGCTCCAGAGTGAGCTCACTAAGCAGCTTGGTGATCCTAGCACCTGAGGGCAGAGCCACCAGTGTGGTCTACAGAGAGGTCCTTCAGTGGGGGGGGGGGGCAGGGGGGAGGTCCTTCAGTGGGGGGGGGGGGACAGTGCGTATGTCTCACTTCATTCTTTCACTACAGTCTTCTCCATTAGAATCCCTACAACAAATGTTACATTTCAAACTTCACATCATCAATATTATAACCAGATTTATGGAACTTAAAAACTAGCAAAGCACAAGTTGGTTCTGTTCTGGCATAGTGGCAGTATGCATATTTGGAACAGTACTGCCACTATGCAAGAACAGAACCAACTCAGTTCTGAATGAGATATAACTGATGAGAGTTTGAAGATGGGAGTTCCTGGTCGCCGCCGAAGGCAATGGCGGCCAGGGGCTGGTTTGCCGCCGCAGGGAAGGCGGGATGGCAACAGCGTCCCAGTACAGAGTGCTGGGACATGGGGTGGGCGGAGCCAGCCTTGCTAGGCTCTGCTCTGCTCCCGCCCTAGGCCAGTTGCTGTCTCGTGCCTGCCCGCCCGTCCTGTTTTTTTTCTAGTGTAGGCTGAGGCTGGTCGCCCATGGGAGCCAGGTAGGAATTTTTCGCTATTACCCAAGATTGGCAATGGGGTGGTAGTGTTTTCGCCTACCTTACACTGGAACAGTGGAACAACGGGTAGGGGCGTGGCTGTTTAAATAGGTTGGTCACTTTGGCAGAATAGGGCAGAGATAAGGAAGCGGAAAATGGTGAGCACCTTAAAAGCCGTCCCGTGTTTTGGAAACGGGGGGGGGGTCTTCAGGAACGGCCGGCGGGCTATTAAGGCCCTGGGTGCTGAACGAGGATCCCCTCTGGGAGCCTCTTGGGTAAGCTCCTCTCTGCAAGCTGTAAGGTTTCAGGGGTAGGCGCTCCCAGGAGGCTACCTGTGGCTGGGCTGCTGGTCGCAAGCCAGATTAATGGCCCAGCCTGACACCTGCCTTGTCTGTTCCGCTACCTAGGAAGTGCTCCCTTGCCGGTTGCTGTTAATAAATTGTATATAGTTAATAAAGTGGCCCTTGTTTTGATCCAAACTGTTGTCCGTCTCGTTATTCCGGCTGTGGGGGCAGTGGCCAGGGTGAGGCCTGAAGACGCTTCTGCTTGCTTCATTCTCATCCTTTCTGTTCTATTACTGTTTGCTTCTTTCTTGCTTCCATTCTCTTTAATGTCAACAGGATCACACTTCCTCTGTTTCTGTCCCAGCAAAGGTCATCCATCATTCAGTAAGGCAACCAGAGTTCTGAAAGCCAGATTTAAAGCCAACTGAAATGTGTCTAGATTATCTGTTTCCTTGAAATACGTTTGGAATTGCAAAGCCTCCACCTACTTGAACACTTTGCCCTATAGGGATATTTGCACCAGCTGACCGCTGTTAAGTCATTGCTCAGTTTTTTAGAACATTTTAGCTGCTCAAATCCATGAATGTTTACTTCACAATAAGTCCCATGAGAACCAAGAGAATTTGCTTCTGTTTAAGTGTGGGTAGGATTGCAGCCTGAACTTTCTTTAATTGGGTTACATCTAGGGCTGCCAAGCAGGAGACCTTATGCTGACAGCCCTTGCCCCCACCATCATTTGATAGGTTGGCAGGAGGAGGAATTGCAGTTGGCAATGCAGCGATGTCACTGGGTGAACCCTGAAGTGATATCCTCACATCACCATGACACTTTAGGATTCCCTGGAAACTGTCATAAAACCGTAGTGTTTCCACTGTATTCTAGAGCATTGCCATGATGTGATGATGTCACTTCCAGGTTTGTCCCAGAAGTGACATCATAGGGTTGCTAAATGCTACCTGCCATGTCTCCACCTCTCCAATCTCCTGCTAGGTTCCAGCCACCAGCTAGCAAACCTGGTTGTAGCCCTAAATTTTAGATCATGAAATGCAAACAAAACAATATCTTATTAGCTAAGCAAAAAATGTCTCTGGTTCTATGCACAGCTTTGATAAAAGTATTTTAATAAAATAAGGTTGCTCGTGTAATTTTTGAATGCGGTATGTAATGGTTTAATAGTATTTGTAATGTATAGCAATCTTGCAAAATGCTGTGTTTTCATTTGCCTTACAGAGAGTTGCTGGAATGTTTCCTGGATGCTTCCAGATTTGAGGATGCCAAGACATTTTTGTCTACTGCGGAAGAATTCATTAAACAAAATGTTCCAGAGAGATATAAAACAATACTTTCACTAATGGTAACTTTTGAATACTTTGTAAGAACTGTTTAGGAATTAGATCTTCACCTTGATGCTGAAAGCATTTTATGTTGCGATCCTAAACAGTGACACCCTTCTAAGCCCATTCGTTTACAAGGATCTTGATTAGAACTCTATTGTAGTCCAATGTCCTTTGCAGCACCGATCTTACCTAAAACCATTTCTGATCAATATAGGTGATTTATATCTCATAACAAAATGGTAAGTTGCTGCAAGGAAAGTAAAAAATGGGTCATAAAATACCCATAAGATGAGAAATAAAATCAAAGGTATACCAAGGTGATTTGAATACTGCATTGGGCTATGTGACACTAAAGACCATTAAAATACCATGGGTTGGATTCTGTGAATTGCCAGTGGAAAGAGCTGATGGTCCAGGATCTTCCCTACCTTTCCCTCTCCTCTGGAGTTCTTTCCTACCATGGGAAATTTAATACCTGGGTGAAGGGACTCACATACACTAACAGCAGTGCTGGATGAATGGCTGTAGTGAGGAGGGGGAAAGGAATTAGCTCACTGTTTCTGCCTCTTGCTGGAGTGGAGCTCCACTCCTTGGATGGAATCAGCATAGCTAAAATGAAGCCAAATCAGCAGGGATGAGATGCTCATACTGATTGGCCCAGGCCAGCCTCCAATCATTTTGCTTTAACTATTTACCATTTAGCCATCTCTCTGCTGCATGAGGCTAATGACTGTGACCTGCAGCTATTCATTGCAACAACCCTTGTTCTTCATGTTCCCTCCTCTTCATTTAGACTGTGTGGTTGCTTTTACCCCTCCTCCTTGCTAGAACGCAACTGTGCCGATGTTGGAGGACACTTTCAGCTGAATCACAGTGTGAGTCCCATGCTGAAGACTGCTGAAGTTAGTAATGAGCATGGGATGGAGATTGATCCCTATCTTCTTATTGCCATTAAAACAGACATAGCTCTAAAACTATCCAAATATTAATTAGCAACATTAGGAATAGAGTTCTGAATTCTTAAATTTAAAAAAAATAGAACATTCTTATGCTGCCTTTCCACCCTATCAGGCCCCCAAAGACAGCAAACGAGAACATTGAAACATTTCAATTAAAAACATTTACAATTATAAAATAATTTGATACACACACACACATATATAGCATCAGAACCAGAGAGGAGGTCATTATTGAAGTTATTCCAGATGAAACAATAAAGTCTTCAGCTGCTGGCAGGAGACATTGATAGTGGGAGAATACAAGTCAGATGAATGAAAGTCGGATGAGTAAGGGTCAGATAAATTAGGTTACCAGCACTCTTGATCTAGCAAGGCTTCTGTGACTTTGGAAGTTGTACTGACAGAAAGCAGAATCACACGCTGAGCTGTACCTCTTACTGCAGTGTTGCTAATAGATACAGCTGTGCTGTTCAAACAACTGCCTGCGATGGTGCAGGGGCCAGGCTAAAACGAGACAGCTGGAAGCCCACAACAAAGCAGCTAGATACACACGGTTGATTATACTGTAAGCTGAACAGATGGTTGGCACTTCACTGTGAATGGGATGCATCCTATCCTCTGCCTTTGTTAGACAGTTGCCTGGAAAGAACCAAAGGAGACACAAGGACGGTGATTAATAATAGTAATAAGAACAATCACAAGTTGAAGCATTCTGCACATGGTCAAAAAACTGGCACCACTAACATGCTCTTCCGGTTCTTGGATCTCTCTCCTCCCTTGTGGGTTCCCACAAAAGTGAGAGTCACCTGTTGGTGGACATACTGTAGTCACTGTTGCCTTGGAACTCTGTAGTTTCTTTTTGGACTGCTCGACAAGACTCTGATCCTGCAATGTAAGAAAGGTAGCAATAGTTAGAATGGCTTGGAGTCACCCAGTAATGTGTTTGTGGTCTGTGTTTCCTCCACTTAATATGAGGTTTCCATCAGCATTACGTTGTTGCAACTTCATGGTTATGTTATGCCAGCACAGCTTTAAGGGTGGAGGAACCTTCTGAGATATAAGTGTGCTGACCAGGGTATTCTGAACAGATCTTGCAACCATGGGAGTGATCATTCCAGGGTTTGAGGGAGCTGTAGGTATTGGGGGAGGGGCATGAGAAAAGTGTGCCTTCCACACACAGATGGTAGGAAACTACAATTTCTTAGAATGAAGTAGCTGTTGCCGACTGTTTTGATGAACAAGACAGAATTCCTAAAAGCCAGGTTAATTTAATAATTGAGCTGATAGCTGTAAATTGTAACATTTTAGGCCATTTTTCATCCTGCAGTACTAATTCAGAATTCTATTTGTCTTTTACCAAAATACCATTTTTAAACTCAAGGGACTGTACCAGGCAGCTTGGATTACCTGCCTTTCTATAAAGCATTTTAGAACTGTACAGATTAAAGTAAACCAGCACTGTAGAATTCTATTATAGTCTGTCTTGTACATCTTTTGCTTATTATATCGATTACATAAAGGTAATGAATACAACCAACTAAATACTTCTTCATTTCAAGCCCATAGGAAAAATAGATTTTAATTCTCAGAAATAAACCCTGTGTAATGCAGTCATAAGTGAGAGTATTGCAGAAATATCAAATATGTACATGTACAACAGGTTCTTGTACATTTGCGTGATAGCTCTCCTATTATATTTCATTTTCTGTCTTATTTTGCTTCTTTCCATATGACCCTTCCTAGAATAATGGGGAATATATCTTGCATAACATCTCACATAATGAAAAATGTACTGGACTTCCCACAGCTGTAATATTAATAAAGCTGTAAGAGGAAAGAAAACTAGGTCATGTATTATATGCTGCTCAAAAGTACTTTGAGAAAAGTTGCCTCACTGTAGTCTTAAAGTATAATGCCGATTCCTGTGGAGCGTAAAGTATAATGCCGATTCCTGTGGAGCTGTGTGTCTGATATGTTCCACTAATCATTTCTTTAACAATCACCTAATACAGTGGCTTTCAAACAATGGGTTAGGACCTCAAAATGGGTCATGACTTCCTCTCAGGTGAGTTGCGAGGCCAGGAGTCAGATGGAGGAATAGGTGAGCTGGGAGAAAAGTCAATTGCAAATTTTTACCTAGAAATACATCCTGTTGTTCATTAATGCTATGTATTCATAAATACTAAACATTAAATATAAATTGCAAGCAGGGAAGCCTGCAAGGTCTTGTGGAGGGTTCTCATTTCTTCCTGTCCCACTACCTCCTCTTTCCCTTCCCTTGAAGCCCCCATAGCCTCTCCTCTCTTCCTGCTTCTTTTCCTCATTCCCATCCACCAACTAACCTACCTTTATATGCTCTCTGTCTTCAGCTTACCCTTCTTCCCTCCTCTGGCAGCCTTTCCACAGGGCTATGCCTAGCTGTGTGGTGGGGAACCAACAAGGATTTGCAGGGGATACCTCACTTTCCCCTGTATCCCCTTGCTATACTATTTCCTCTCTTTCCCGTCTCCTAGCAGTGCCAATATCCTGCTTCCTTCTCTCCTTTCCACCCACCAACCATAGGCTCCTGTCTTCAGCTATTTTTATTATTTATTTACTTCATTTATATCTTGCCTTTCTCCACATTACTTCATTCTCCTCTCCTCCATTTTATCTTCACAAGCAACCTATGAGGTAGTTTAGGCTGAGAATAAGTGACTGGCCTAAGGTCTCCCAGTGAGCTTTCACGGCAACCTGGCTCCCTCAGATCCTAACCACTATACCACACTGGCTTTCTGGGATATCTGCTGGTGAATAGTAGCCAGCAGCCAGGCCTGGATGAGTTATCTAAGTTGGATGGTAGCCTGGTGGTTGCTGCTGGGCTTGGCCCCACTGAGCCCTCTCTCAAAAACCAGAACAACCCTGGAAAGGGCCCTGCTCCTCCACCCTGTCTTTTACTGGGAGAAAACAAGGCTGGAATCAGCTGGCAATACTGTTATGATTGCCGAGCAATGGCCACTGAAGGCATTCATTTCTTAAAGCTATAGGTGCTCCTGTTATCTTAGAAGTTATAGGTGCTCTTGTTATCATTTGAAGGGGTTAACTCCCCAATGGTTTCTTTTCTTAAGATTTCAGATTGTTCTCAGGGTTCTAGAAAGATCTGTCTTGTTTAGCCATAGCTTCAGATTTAAGTATCCATAGATGGGGCTATGTTGAGAACTTAAGTATATTGATAAACTTGTTCAGTGCTATCTGATGTGAGAAGCCTGCGAGATGAGTGCTCTAGTACTCCTGCAGATCATGTGACTGTGAAACTGGGAGATAGATGTAGGCAAGCAAAGAGGAAATTCTATGTATGATGGAATATCTCTGTTAAAAATGTAAAAATTCATTTTGGAATAGACAAAGAAGTAGAATGTTTAAATTGTTGCATTTCCATTGTGAAAGAGAATACATAGCAGTTTAACATAGATTATTTGATAAATGTTGATATTTGCATTAACTTGCTTGTTTGCCACAGTGGAGGGGGCTATTCCCTATTCAGAAACCAATGAAAGCAGGGGTGTGCTATGTATGCTTGGAATCCCCTGTATTCATATGGGTGTGACTACTGAGGCTAGTTTGCCTGATGTTTATATCTCCTGTTTTGAAGGTTCACCTGTACATAATCTACAGAAAGTCAGGCAATGGCATACAACATCGGTCTCCATGAATTAAAAACTCTAGGGAACTTTTATAAAGGATTTCGACCATAGTTATCTTGCTGTCAGCTGATATGTGCCTGTGCTTGAAGCAGTGATACAGCTATTGTATTTACTTGCAGGTGCGTCACAAACTAGTAGACCCTGTAGATCTAAAAGATTATATTGAAGATTCGGTCAATCTGATGATCATTTATAAAATCCAGACAATTAAAGCGTAAGTATTGTATTTTAATATCTTGAGTCTCCTCTGTATCTCTAGATATAGTTTGGGATCTGAAGGGCCTAGAGTGAAAGGAAAACAACCCCACAAGCGCGGGCTACACTCAGAGACAGAGAGAAGAACTGCCACATACCACTGTAGCCATTTTTCTCTCCCTGATCTACCACTGTATGTGCATCCAACAGTGGTGGCTGGGAAGTTACATGCATGACTTGAATAGTTTTACACTCAGTTGCTATACTTCCTAAGATGAGCAGGTAATGACTTAGTGCAATCTTGATGTACCTGGAGAGAGAATCGTATACCTTCTCTTTCCTTAGCTTCATTTGATACGCACTTATGAAAACTTTTTTTCTTGCATGAGTTATATCTTTTCACTTAACAAGGCCAGATATCTTAACAACTAGAGGAATTGATCCCCAATGTGTGACCCCTGGCCATCAGTGTGGCCGCCTCCTGTCACCCATTTGCTTCTTCAACAAAGCATCTCTTCCCCAAAGTAAAAAGATATTTCTGGCTTTCCTCCATCTTTTTGGAGTAGTAGATGCTTCTGAAGAATTTAAGAGGCATTGCCTTTTGTGTCTGCAGGAGCACTCCTTTATCGTCATAGGAGGATGCTTGAAGTCAAACTTCCCAACAATTTGTGATTGGCTCAGCACCCCATGGCATCCATTTTGTGATTGCCATCACATGGCAGCCATTTTTAGTGGTGCCGACTACCTCAGAATTCCAAACATTCCCTCAGTCTCAGTAAGATTGTAGACCCACTGACTAGAGAAAGAAAAGTGTAATTATTCTGCTTATAGATCACCTTGATGGAGGAGAAATGTGGCAGAATTCACATTCAGCTGTTGATACTTTTTTCATAATTTGTTAAACATTTACATGTACCATGTACTTGCAGAGAGTTGGATGCCAATGAGATTCCAGAAGCCGCTGGTGCAGAGTTGACTCATATATATGACTTTTTGAAGGAGAATAGAAAGAAACTAAGTGCTAATGAAAAGTAAGTTTGATGTGTTAAAGTTCTGGGAGCTCTGTTCATATCCGTTTTAAAAAACATCAATTCACTGTTATTTATCATGGTCGGGCCAAATTGTTAGTTATCATTTGCCTTTTGGGAACTATCACTCTCAGTGCTTAAAGAGGGCTCCTTCTTCTCCTTTATACGTACCTGGAATTCAGCATTTTCATGCTTCTTCTTTCTCTACCCTGTCTTCCTTTATTTATTTATTTCATTTAGGCCCTTTCTCCCCAATGGGGTCCAAAGTAGTTTACATAATTTTCCTGTGTGTTTTATCCTCACAAGAAACCTGTGAGGTACGATAGGCTAAGAGTGTGTGACAGGCCCAAGGTCACCCAGCAAACTTCCATGGTGGAGTGGGAGTGTGAACCTGAATCTCCAAGCTCCTAGTCCAGCACAGTAACTACTACATCACACTGGATCTCTGTCACCATACTACATAGACATTCTACTGTCCAACCCAGGACCTAGAATGCTTTAAACTCAGGTCTTGCATTGAAGAGGGAAGGCTGGATGGAAACTTTGTAATTCTGTCTCTTTTTGTAATTCCATTTTCAGCATTGTTTATCATTTATCTTGTCTGTGTCGTGGATCAGCCAGCCACAGCCAGCTCCAAAGAGGCAGAGGCCTCTGAGGAAGAACAGGCAGGCAAAGGGGCCCCCAGCTCTCAGGTAGCTAAGGACAACCTGCTACAGAAAGCTACCCCAACCCTGCCAAGTAGCAGCTTACAGGCTGACAATAGCTCCCCAGCTTTTCCAGCCCATGGTCCAGAACCAGTGAGCACCCCACCACCCACCTCACCTCCTTCTCTCCAGAGCCAGCTGCTAGAATGTAGACGAAGGAGGGCCTGCCGTGAGATGCAGGAAAAAGACGGAGTGTGTGATTAGCAGCCCAGAGACACCTGGCTCTAGGCAGCAAGGAGGAAAGCACACATCCCTGCATAATGCAACCCAGCTGTGAGACAGGCATCTCTCCTATAAAGGGCAGAGAGAAGGAGAGACGGGGTGTGGTGGAAGCAATGCATCTAATTACTCCTGACCTTGCCGCCACTGTCTGTGCCTCTGGATTGTGATTCTGACTCTTGGACTCTATCTGGACCTTGACTCTCAGATTTGGCCTGAACCTGCTGCTGACTCCATGTATGACCTAGGACTGGACTCTGACCACGCTGCACTGGATTGTGTCTACATGTTGGGTGGCTTGCACCTTGACTGTGCGATGCCACTGTGCGCCCCGCTCACTTCAGGACTGTCTGATACTTTTTTCTTTCTGTGTTCCCGCCCCCTTATTTTTATAATCCTAATCCTATTGCATTGTTTACTGGAAGTTTCACGCTATCTGATTGCTTTGTTTTATACTGTGTGATCCACCTTGAGTTTCAGTGAAAAAAGCAGGGAAAGAAAGAAAGAAAGAAATGTTTCTGAGCAATGAATGCAGTATATATGTTTTCTTAAACCCAGGATTATTGCAGCAGGTTTATATTATGCTGCATTGGTTTTAGCTATAGTAAAATCAATTTTTAAAATGATATTGATCCCAATAGCATTGTGCAGCATGTTTTCAGAAGTGTTGCTAACAACATTATGCTTATATTATGCTGCATTGGTTTTAGCTATAGTAAAATCAATTTTTGAAATGATATTGATCTCAATAGCATTGTGCAGCATGGTTTCAGAAGTGTTGCTAACAACATTTTTTTAGTAGAGGATATGTCATTTGTTAATGTTTATTGATGAAAGTGTAGAGGAGGAGGACATATGCAGATGATGCTGTTGTATTATCCCACACTCAAAAAGGTCTCAAGCACCTCCTACTTATTTTTACAACCTACTTACTTTTACATCCTACTTGGGTGTCCTTTTCCAGTATAACAACTGAATAGCCCAGAGGAAACAAGCATTAAATTCGGTCAAAAGTTGTCTGTCTACAGTCGCTAGGGTTTTTTAATGTACAGGGTAACCAATTGGTTCCTGCAGCTGTGAGAGTTTTCAATGTCAAAGTTTTATCCCAATTACTGTATGGTATCCCTATCTGGATAAACTCATTTAATTCACATGTTGAGCAGCCCATATTTTTGTGATGTATTCTTGGGGTCCCAAACTGTGTAAGTTATGTTGCCATGCGCCCGGGCAGGGTCTTCTTACAAGCTTGGCTTTTGACACTGAAATTTTGGCTACACCTCCATTAGAGGGCAGGGCTTAGTAGTTATATCTCCCTGATGCTGTCAGATTAATTTTCATCTAACTGGCTTCATTCAATCTCAAGAAAAATACAGTCAATTGATATATCCATGGACTCCCTTTTTAATGTTAGATGAACTTCAAGTATTTAGATCCCTGAAACAGAGACTCCTCAACATTGAAAAACAAACCTTCTGGTCTCTTGCAGGTAAAACTTGTTCCCTTCTGCAGTTTACTATAACACTTCCAGCTGCCTATTTTACACAGTTTACAGCCGCTTGATTACGCCGTGCCTTTATGCTTGCATGATGCAATGTCTTCCCATCAGCAGTTCTTCATGGGAGATTTGTGAATCTTACCATGAAAGAATCTGCCCATGCAGTAGTAGGAAACCAGAATCGATTGCTCATATTTTGCTTCAATGTGAATTTTATGTCAAAATACGGGATGCCTTAATTAGCCCTGTTTTGCATAACAGGCATAGCCTCCCAATAGTGAGGCTTGTTTCCCTTCTCTTATCGAATCAGTGTTCCCTATTACCCACTCAGTGGCGAGGTTTCTTCTGATTGCTATGAGGATCAGGGAATATAAGATTAAAGTTCTAAAGAGAAGATTGTTTTGATAGTACTCTGTATATTTAAATACTGGATTTGTTTGATTTTAATTTATGCCAGTAAAGGTACTGACTGACTGACTGATGAAAGTGAAAAGCAGCTAGGCTTGCCAAATGTGCCCGGGGGGCGGGTAACCCCCCGCTTCGGAGCCCCCGATTCCCGCCCCGCCAGAATTGGGGCTCGGGGGAACCCTGCCCCCGAAGCTGCATCACCGGAGGTGACGCAGCCACGTTGCCAACGTTGGGGACGTGGCCGAGCTCGTTGGGGGGGAAAACCATATGTTTCCCCCCCCGACGAGCTCAGCCACACCCCCAACGTCGGTAGCGTCTGACGTCACTTCCGGTGACATCGCGGCGCTGCGTGCGCGCGCACATGCGGACTGCTCCCGGACGGGACGGAGCCTCCCCCGCCGGTGAGTTAAAATTATTTGGCAACCCTAAAAGCAGCCATTTTAAATCTGATAAATATTCTAATCCGTGGGTTGGATCCAGACTAAATTTCCCATCAGTGGAACTTTTAATAAAGTTAGAAAACAGGCTGCTATTTTCTAATGATTACTATAGCATCCAGGTTCTCTGGAGAGGTATCACAGAATTTTTATAAATTAAAAAAATCATTCTGCATCTCAGTTTCAATTCTGAAAGTTTGTATAGCAAACAAAACGTGCCCTTTTTTGTGTTTAGATTTTTTTAAAAAACATACTCATTGCTGAATTTTTCCTTGCTCCAGAAGCCCTTTTCTTTTAAAGATATATATTTGAAAATGACAGCAGAACTGGTTGCAATTTGTGCAAAAATAATTTTTCTACATTTTATGGAATGAAATCCCCAAATGTGAACAATCCACATAAATTCTAAATGTCTGGCAATCACAGTGAAACAAATTGTCTGCCAAACAACTTCTGCAAATTGTTGTACTTCATCCTCTTACCTGATATAACCTTTTCAATCTAGTACAAAAATACAGCACTACAAAGACTTTTGGTTCCTTCATTAAAAAAAATACACTGTTAAGTATATGCTCATAGAGATATGCTGGAATGGAGAGGAGCACAAGAAAATTCCTTGTGCCAGGCCGATATCAGCATATTCTGAGGTGGGGTGACTCCCTAACATGCATACCAGATTTTATTTCAAGTATTCTCTGTTTTATTTACATATTAAGTTAACTAGAAATAAGGCCCGTTGTGGAAATAAATACAACGGGAGCTAGAAAGAGGCTCTGGGAGAGTGCTCTGGCTTTGGGCAAACAGTGTCAGTCTGCTTTTAAAACATGAACCTGAGACCTGCACACCACCAGAATACAGCAGGTTCCATATGCAACTGACATTCCAACTGCCTTGCGGGGGGGGGGGGGTTGAGGTGTGGAATGGAGTGAAGTCCAATCAGCTTCCATATGCAAAAGACCAGGTTGTCGCAGCAGTTGTGGTGTGGGTGGGACCCGGGCTTTGCCTTCTGATTGGTGGCGATATATGCTGAGGAGCAGTGCCATCAGCCATACACTAAGGGAGTGCATTTTAGAATTAGAACTTTGGCACCCACTATTCAATTATATATAAGGAGAGATACACTATCCATCCAGTACATTTTTGTCCCACCTTTCCTCCAAAGAACTCTGTACAACCACCCTGTAAGGTAAGTTCAGAGAGTGTGACAGGCCAAAGGTTACCCAGAAAGAGTGGGGACATGAACCGGGGTGAGAGCCAGTTTGGAGTAGTGGTTAGGAACATGGACTCTAATCTGGGAGAACCAGGTTTGATTCTCCACTCCTCCACATGCAGCTGCTGGTGTGATCTTGGGTCAGTTACACGTTCTTTCAGAGCTGTTCTCTCACAAGCAGTTCTCAAAAGAGCTCTCTCAGTCCCACCTACCTCACAGGGTGTCTGTTGTGGGGAGAGGAAGGGAAAGGAGATTGTAAGCCACTCTGAGACTCTTTTGGGTAGTGAAAGGCGAGGCATAAATCCAATCTCCTCCTCCTCCTCCTAGATCATACTCCATCACTCTATGCACTACACCATGCTAGTTCTCATGTCCTAATTGTTTCTATTTTCCTTTCTGATTTTGCAGATTTTCTTTGCTGATGGAATTGGCTCGTCTCTCTTTGAGATTAGGCTGTGTACCTGTAGCATTTTCATGTCTATCTGATTTACAGAAGTTTAAGATTAAAGTGAGTCTTAGTTCATTCTTCACTGCTGTGTTTTTTAGGAAGTTGTCCTAACTGTAGTACATTTTCTTCCTTTTCTACATGAAACAATATGTACCAAAGTGAAAACAATATATATTGACCAACCAGAGCTATCTCTCATGTTAATTATTATCAGAGATCATGAGATGCACTGCTCCTCAGAAACATGAATTGCAAATACTAAGTAAGGGGGGTACATCTTTGAAAATATAAAAATTTACTCCTAAATGAGGGATCCCTATTTTTAAAGATGGGAAAGTTGTGGTCATGCTCTGCTCATGCTGTGCACAAGAACAAATTGTTACATGCATCTTGAGCTGGATTAGTGAACAGGCCATTAAAATGTTTATTATTTCAAAGAAAATCACATCTCTTCCACAATATGGTTTATTATATGCAGTCATGACTCCACATACCTCTGTCTTTTCACAGAGCCCTCGGTGCTGATCGGTGGCTGACCTGGGAATGGAAGCGCTTCCATTCCATCCTTGAGCTACTTGCCCTATTCCTTTAGCAAAATGGTATTAAAATACATGTTAAGTAACAGCAGAGTAACTACACATTAGTGAAGGCAGCAGGTCTCCTCACCCACATAGCTGTTAATGGGCGATGTCCATACGCATCAGATGGTTGTCAAGGTTGCGGTGATGCAGCTTTAGGTTAGAGTGCTTGTGCAATATAAAAATGTCCACCTGTTTTGCTAACCCAGCCATTTTTCTTAATGCTGGTACTTTTGCTGATGTGTGGAATAAAACCTGTGAGACTGCATGTGACCCCCTTGTTCCTAGAATGACAAATGAAGCACTCAAGAATGAAAACATTTGAGAGCATCAGAACTGAAGTGTGGTCATTTACATTCATTAATGTGACTCTATTTCTGTTATTTAGGACCAAGGAAAACAAATTGAATTAGAATGCTTGGAATGTGACTATGAAGTTCAAAAACTTGGGGATAAAATTACAACTTATTCTAAAAGTGTTGTTGAGGTATGTTTGTTCCTTAATTTGTATTCCTTTAATTGGCACCGCTTCATAGCCTCCTCCTCCATCCCTTTTTCTGAAGCATCAAACATAGTCAAAGGCAAACTAGAAAAATGCTCTAGCTGGAACTTGGGGTCCAGCTACCAGAGGGCAGAGAGGAGGGTGGCATTTCCAAAGGTAGTTTCTAGAGACTGGGAATTCTGTCTTGTAGTGAACTGTCCATGAATAGGGAGCACAGTTCCTTTCACAGTCCACCTGAACACATTATCCCAATTATGTGGTACCCTGTGGATTGGGTCCAAAAATTCTTTCTATGATTAGTGTAAAATATATTTTTCATTCTTGTAGGCTCAACTAAAAGTAATACAGAAACTGGATCTAATTTTGATTCGTGCAATTCGTCTTAAAGATTCAAATGTTATTCAGGCAGTCTGTGCTACTCAGTGGAATCTCTGTTTACCATTGCTGCAACACAACTTGCAACAACATGTACGAAAATCATTGCTTGCTATTGCTGAGATCCTGGAAAAGATTGACAGGTAAATTGGGGCACTGTATGCACTCTCATGTGTTGTTTTACAGAATGAGGTAACCTGTGTATGAACTTCCCTTCATGCAGTTAAGGATTCTGGTCTCCCACAAACCATAATGTCTGAATGAAAGCTCCTAGGTTAACTGGAGTTGGTTCAGTTCCCACAAACCATGATTCTAGATTGGAATCAACCCAAAGAATGGGAGAGCAAACAAACTCCAACTTAGGAAGACCTCCCTGCCTCCCTGTTCTTTTCCTACTGCCACTTGGTGGGGCAGGTGTGGAAAAAATTCCTGGGAAGTTGTGTCACACCAATGGCATGATATCACTTCCTCATATACCCAGAAATGATATCGTTTCACATCACCATGATTTTACCATAGAGTTTCAGTGAATCCTAGAGATGTCATGCCAGTGTGGTGATGTTGTTTTAGCCACTCCCACTCCTTACTCTAGTTTGCCCCAATGCAGTTCACACATCACCAGGAATTGGAGATTGTCTGTAGGTTTCTTAAATTGGGAAACCTTTATCAGGAAAAGTGAGGAGAAGCAAACAAATGTGCCCATTGCAGCAAATCTCAGTTGAATTGTGGTTTTTCATAATATCTAAAATGCAGCCTATACCACTAATACTCTTTGATAAACAGTTCTAGTATTTAAACTCTATGACTCCATCATTACCAGGCAAATTCTAGTATGGAGGAATCCTAATTGTATTATGCCTTTCATGAATATAAAGCTAGGTGTAGAAGTTTTAAAACATTTAAACTGAAAATGGTTATGGTTGTGTTTCTTAGCATGCTGGTTCTATTACGATGTCAAATTCATATGGAAATTGCTCACATTGAAGAAAAGGGAGACAGATTTGAGGCTGCCATGGAACATTTGCAAAAAGCCATCTATCTTGATAACAACGGGCAGTATAGTGAATATCTTAAAATGACATTCCATCGACTTAATTTAAACACCATTTTATACAAGTCCCCAGAACGTGCAGAAGACCAAGCAAGTTTGATGGTTGAACAGGTAACAGCCAGAGATGTTATTGAAGAATATCACATTTAATAAAGTGAGCCACAGCCACTGCGTATTTTAGGGAATTCTTAGACATAACAATAGTCTGTGATATAAATTTACTGTAACTTGATTACAATTATTTATTTGTTTGTTTATTTCTTTTTTTTTTTAAAGTCCCTTGGGTACACTTTTATTAATTTTTCTTTTATAATCTACAACAAACAAATCTACACACTACAAACAGACACTCTACTACACATAACATGTATACCAAGAGTACAGTTACATTATATGCTTATATCCAATTATTTAATTAATAGAAACGCTCTATCACTTTCCATTCTTCTGTCTTCTGTGTTCTCAAGTCCATTGTGCCATAATTGCCTAATCTTCTATTGTACTTACATTATACCAATCATAAAACTTTTTCCATGTTTTTTGAAATGTCCACTCTTTGCTTAATCTCATTTCTAAAGTCAGTTTATCATTTTCTGCTGTTTCAAAAAGTTTATTCACAAACTCCTGTTTTGTTGGTATCACCATAGTTTTCCAATATTTGGCATATAAAATTCTTGCAGCTGTCGTCATATAAACAGTCAAATACCTATTCTCTTTTTCATAGTCATTTGGAAATATATTCAACAGCAAGACCTCTGGAGTAAATGGAATCTTTGCTCTTAGTATCTTCTCCATCAAACTATGGACCCATTTCCAAAACTTTTTTGTAACATCGCATAGCCACCACATATGATAAAATGTGCCCCTTTTACTCTTACATTTCCAGCATTTATCAGAACAGTTAGTATTTTGCTTAGCCAATCTATCAGGTGTAATATACCATCTATAAAACATC